CCCAAAACCCCAAAACCCCAAAACCCCAAAACCCCAAAACCCCAAAACCCCAAAACCCCGTGTGAAGTTCTCGAATTGAAAAATTATTAATAATGGGTGAAAATAGTTGATGTTTATAAGATCTTTACTTCTCTTGAGATAACCGATTCCTCCTATACAAATATGTTAATAAATGCTTAATAATTGTTAGGAAAGAGAATAAACACATACAGCTAGTTGTTCCTCCTTAATCACTGGGAGACCATCGTCATGCTTCCTGATCTTTGGAGCAACTGTCTTTTTCTTCCTTCTATATCACATTGAATCTTATGTTAGAGAGAAAATAGGTCATTAATGTTGTCAGAATTTGGATTTGAAAGACGTTATAGAATATCATCTTTCTTAAGGATCAGGGATGAGCACATACTTTACTACTACTTTCTTGACTTTCTTGATTTTCTTAATCTTTTGAGTAGCCTGTCGGGGTGAGCTCATCATTGTAGCCATTGATGCTAGATTCTCTTTGCTTAAATCTTTTGTATCTGAGAATGTCATTTCTGAAATATAGCAAGATATACCGACAATATTGTCAGTATAGAAGGTCTGAAGGCCAATGAGAGACTTCTTCTCTTGAGTTAAATCGAGCTTATGAATTTTTCATATTTCAGAGTCTTTATTTACCAGTAATGTTCAGCTTTCCGCCAAGATTTGTTTCGAGGGTTACCTTAGTCATTCCATTTTCATCGTTTTTAACTTTTAATTTTGTTATAAATTCATGGTACTCTAGCTGTAAGGACTCACAATTATGGTGTGAGAGGTTTGAATTTTGTGGTTTAGCAAAATTTCGTTTCTTTTTCAATGATCAAGCTCTTGTATGACTACTTGTGAAAGTTTGACCACCTGGCAATCAGTACTTGACGATAATTCCTGAGATATAGTCATCAGCATACACATTTATCTCTCAAATTCTCCAAAATTTTGATCACTCAAGTAAATTTATATCATCCACAGAGGTTATTTTTTTATGAACCTTTGAAATATTTGACGTCAAACTAATAATTCTTGGGTCGTCTCTTCAGCTTTGTACTTTAGTATGAGTACTAAAAACGCTAAGAGTGTTAGTATTTGACCTCAAATTATCAAAATCATCGCTTTTATTGCTCCTTCTCCTCAGGTTTATTCGTTTCTGGTCTAAACCTACAAATTATTAGCCCAGTATTAGGATGCCAAACTTTGGGACAAACTTCCCTTGACCCTTGAAGTGAGCTTACTTTCAGAGTCATCATCATGAGTGTCAATCATGAAGAGGTCTCTTTTTTCGTTCTCTTTTATTTTGTAAACGTTTGTCTTTACTTTCTTTTCTTTTGCCTGCAAACAGCCCATATTTACAATATTGTTATTTATTTCAATATGAGTTTCTATATTTGGGGTTTTGGGGTTTTGGGGTTTTGGGGTTTTGGGG